TCTGCCGGCAGAATAAGTTGGCTTTTATTATCCTGGTGCCTGCAGTTTAGATTATTTACATGAAAAACACCTACCAGCTGCCGCGGTGAACCGCGAGGAGGCGACCTGGCCAGAGGCTGCTGATGAAGGGATTCCTACTGTCGGCGCACCGCTGGTATGTGGGGGTCTGAGCGGCTCCGACAGAAAAAATATTGGAAGGCAGGATGATAATCTGAATTAACTGACTGCACTGATTACGTTTTCAGGTGTATTTTCTCACTTAAAAACATATTAAAACTACTTTATAGGATAGTGAAGCTCTGCCCAACGCGCGTCAGACACACTTTTGCACCGCGCAGCCAGAGCAGCAAAGCTGCTTCAGCCGCGCGTCAGAACTAACTGGTACAAGCAGCAAAAATGAAGCAGCAGACGCGATTTTGCTGCTTTTGCTGCGTCCGGTGTGAACGTAGCATAACTGCACAAAGATCGCCACTGTGCTAGCAACGAGCATGCTTTTAACTGGGGGGTGTAGCAGTTCTCGCCGTAATGCAAGACCGACTCTCGCGAGACTTGAGAGCCTGTGGGTGCGGGTCGGTGCTCCTGCAATTGCAAGTGCGGTATTTCCCCCACAGACCACCAGGGCGGCCGAGAATACCTTTGTTCAACCTGAAATGACTCATTTAATCATCTAAAACGTTATGGAACACATTAATTATCTGAAAAATGTTGCATAGTGTGCCTTTAAAGCAGTTATCATGCCTTTAAATTTATTCACTCTTACTTGGCGTTCCTTTTGCAGCTTTTCTATGGTCCAGATCAAATCCTTTTCAAAGTAGGAAAAGTTTTCCTTTTAACACCATCATTGCTACGAGTGTCATTTACATGTCAATCAGCCTTTGATCCACTTATATTAATGTCCAGCAAAGAGTGCAACACAAACATTCAAAAAGCAGGTTTGGGCATAAATCTGCATCCATACATCAACAATCCAATATTGCATCCAGGTCTGCACTTTGATTAAGGCTTAAGCATCAGCAGTAACAGCATCAAATATCCAACTTCTCTTCTTTGATATGCACAAATGAGTGATCCATATTTTCCACAGGTTCATTCAGTCTTGAGTAATCTGGCTGAATAATATCACCAGCAGCCACAGCATCCAAATACGCAGTGGTAACCAGCATCAACTGTGTCCAAAGCAAAAATGAACTTCACAGAATGAATAAACTGAATCCAACATGCCACAGGTTGTTTCATTCACTTTTACTCACAGTTTGCGTCCAAAATGGCTGAGTGGTCCATTGTCTTACATGCACAGTTCCATCAAAGCATCAAAGTGTTGCCTTTCTGTTGACAATATAAGTGACTATCATCCAAAAAATGAGTCACGGAGAGGAGAGCAGGGATCTGTTCGATGCGCTGGATCCAAGGAGGACAAATAAAGCTTAACTGCAGTTAGGGATGTTTATTGTACTCTTTTTTTGTAAAAGATTGTAAAATAGACACACTTGCAGACGCAATAGGCTTTAAACTTGCGGTCTACAGAAATATTGGTACCCTGCCTTAGCCTCTCTCTGTATCAGACAAACAGAACCCTGAGCAGATCCAGGTGATATTTATTAGACAATCATTCAGCCCCTACACACGCCAACACCCACTTATAGCTCCACCCACACACGTCAATACATACTTCTAACACTTGCATCCTACCCCTAGAGACAAGACAAAAAATGCATCCTTGCCTTAATGGTTTTAATAGAGGCCACAGATGCAAGTTAATATACAGACTGTATTTATGGATTAAAACTGTTTTTCTGTTGTTTTTTTGTTTTTGCTCCTTTAAACATTTAATGAGTTTTAGTATATATTGAAAGTGAAAAAAAAAAGAAAAGTACACAGTTAAGTCCGAGATTAGTTGAGTATTATGTACTTCAGTATATTTGAAAATAAAGCAAAGAAAAACCATCAGCCGGTACTTTTTATTTAAGTTTTGGAATTGGATAAAATATGAGTTGACTAAAATTATCTAGCAAAACAAAAGTACATCTTTAGTTGATAAAATACATTTGATAGTAAATCTTTTTTTTTTTTTTTTTTTGAGTTTTTTAAAACAATTCTTACTAAGTAAAATTAACTTGAGTAAATTTTGTAAAGTGGAAAAAGTTTGTGTGAAGAATGGATCAGCCTTATTAAAGTCATCAGATCTGATGGATTCCAGCAGTGGGTAGGAAGCAGCTGCATTTATTGAGCTACATTAGAGTAACACATATTTCTATAGTTTATACTGAATTTTTTGCAACACTTTAGTATATTTTCTTATTACCTTGTGGGAATTATTTAACTAGATAACAGGCTTAACAAAACAATAAACACACAGCTAGAGTTTATATTGAAGGGAGAAATGTTTTCATTTAAGAAAAGCTTATTTTGTATTTGTTAAAATTTGAATTTGTTAGAATTCTGACTTTTTTCTCAGAATTTTGACTTTAATCTCAGAATTCTGACAGCTAACAAACATGTTAGCATCAAGCCATAGCCATGTCTGTTTTAGAGACTAGCTCTCTTGTTTTAATGACCTTCTGCTCCTCCATTAATGAGGGGACCCCTCAGGAATGTAAAAAGTTGCCTAATTCCACCATTTTCCACCAATGTGTCACTGGCCACCTCAAACAACTCACATCTTTGTCTCTTCCTTCATGGTGCCCATCTACATTAAGAACCTAAATTCTGAGATTAATCAGAATTCTGAAATTAAAGTCGGAATTCTGAGAAAAAAGTCGGAATACTGAGAAAAAAGTCGGAATACTGAGAAAAAAGTTGGAATTCTGAGAAAAAAGTCAGAATTCTGAGATTAAAGTCAGAATTCTGAGAGTAAAGTCGGAATTCTGAGAAAAAAGTCAGAATTCTGAGATTAAAGTCAGAATTCTGAGAGTAAAGTCGGAATTCTGAGAGTAAAGTCGGAATTCTGAGAAAAAAGTCAGAATTCTGAGATTAAAGTCAGAATTCTGAGATTAAAGTCGGAATTCTGAGAAAAAAGTCAGAATTCTGAGATTAAAGTCAGAATTCTGAGAGTAAAGTCGGAATTCTGAGAAAAAAGTCAGAATTCTGAGATTAAAGTCAGAATTCTGAGAGTAAACTCGGAATTCTGAGAGTAAAGTCAGAATTCTGAGATTAAAGTCGGAATTCTGAGAGTAAAGTCGGAATTCTGAGAAAAAAGTCAGAATTCTGAGATTAAAGTCAGAATTCTGAGAGTAAAGTCAGAATTCTGAGAGTAAAGTCAGAATTCTGAGAGTAAAGTCAGAATTCTGAGAGTAAAGTCGGAATTCTGAGAAAAAAGTCAGAATTCTGAGATTAAAGTCAGAATTCTGAGAGTAAAGTCAGAATTCTGAGAAAAAAGTCAGAATTCTGAGATTAAAGTCAGAATTCTGAGAGTAAAGTCGGAATTCTGAGAAAAAAGTCGGAATTCTGAGAAAAAAGTCAGAATTCTGAGAGTAAAGTCAGAATTCTGAGAGTAAAGTCGGAATTCTGAGAGTAAAGTCGGAATTCTGAGAAAAAAGTCAGAATTCTGAGATTAAAGTCAGAATTCTGAGAGTAAAGTCGGAATTCTGAGAAAAAATTCAGAATTCCGAGATTAAAGTTGGAATCCTGAGAAAAAAGTCAGAATTCTGAGATTAAAGTCAGAATTCTGTTTTTTCCCCATACTAAGTTGAAATAAAATTTTAACTTTTTTTTTTTTTTTTTTTTTTTTTTTTACAGTGGCCCTAATCCTCTTCCGTGCTTATGGGTTCAGTCCGGTTGGAAAGATTTTTTTTTTTACATTTTATCCTATAGTAGCAGCCATTCAAAATGGCCCTTCCCAGTCAAACGCCAGCCAACTTCCAGCCACTGGAGTGAACCCCCCCTTGCATATCTTTTTACTCCGACTCCACTCTTTCACTGAATTACAGGGTCTGACCAGAAGATGGCGCCTCTCTTTAGATCTTAATGTCCACAAATCATGACAGGAAGAATATTTAAGTACAAAGATTGTTTAGAAAGGAATCTTATGGGACCAACCAAGGACCCATCAAGGAAAGTAGGGAAAATGTTTAATGGCTACTACTATATTTATACTTCATTGACTTAATTGTTTCACCACCAATTACAGCTTACAACTGATGGGAATCATAATTTGGCATAACATTAGAATATATGATGTTCTAATATTTAACAGAAGCCTTTAAAAACCAGATGTTTTAGACCTGAGGGAAGTTGTTCATTCTGAAACTAAATTATAAGTTGCTAACCTATGATTATATAATTTTAAACTGTAAAAAAAATGTTAGAGGCACAAACGAAAAATTTTGCTGCACAAACGTAGCACAAACGTTTGACACTAATTTTGTCTGATTTGAAGAAGGATAGGATGGGTTGGAAACATTTTCAGGAACAATAGAGTGAAAGTCTTGTTACATGAAGCCTGTTGTCTGGTTGACTGAAAATGTTCACAGGTATCACAACATCTAATACAGAAAGAGCCTTTCATTTCTGTCAGGTAGGCAACATTTTCCATTGGTCCAAATTAGACCTTAAAGCTCCTCAGGTTTAAACAGACATCCAATAAAACCAGATTAGAGTCTGAAAGAAAAGTTCCATGCATTTCTTTTTAAGTTTATCCTCTGCTAAGAGCCGACTGGGTGGAAGTGGAGAGGTTGATGTTTTAATTACGTTTGCTGAATGACAGCCCCCCCCCTCTATAACTGGGCTGACATTCACTTCCTTATATAGACGCACAGCCCCACGTCAGTGTGAGCTTGGAGGAGCACTTCTTCCTTTCATTACATTAATAAACATTAATAATAATTAAATTTAATTTTCAATCGGTCGTGGTTTTAACATGTTAAAACACATTTATGCTGCTTTAAATGCAAGAGGGGTTTAATTCTGGAATAAAGGAGCAGCAGGATATAATGCGTCTACCTGTGGAACTGCATCATTTACAGTCAGAATCTTGAAAGCAAACAGAAAAACAACCAAAATCATCCATTTGATCCATTTATTGAAAACACAATCCTAAAATCTGTAGAACTCGGGTATAAAAAGAACAAAAACAGGAGTGCTGTAACAATGGGTTAGAAGAGGACTCAGCAACACATTTCTGAAACATCCAAAATGAATATATAAAAACCATCCTGCAAAACCGTTCCCAGGTTGTCGTCGATTAGAGAGAAGAAAAGGTCCCAACATAACATATACTGAATATATCAGAGACAAACATCTAAGGTTAAAAAGAATGACAAGCTCCCTGAGGTAAAATGCCGGAGATGCAGCTCATCAAACACTCCCTCTACGTCCTTCCAAGCAGGCCAGGCTTTCAGGCCGTTTTGGGACGGTACTTCCTCTCAAACCGAGCTACGTCGAACTTCCGAAGGCAGCCTTTGTAGTTCATGTAGCGGATTTTTCCAAAAACCGCTCTCTCAGCCCAGCCCTGGTCGTGGATGCCGCAGATGGACCACATGCAACCTATAGGACGGAAACCCAGCGGAGGAAGGACTGAGGTGAGAAAAGAGCAAACCGAGGATCTGATGAGCAGCGGCGTCTTGGTTCCTTACCTACAAAGCCGTTTGGGTCCTGACCGTCCAGCTCGTAGCGGTCATTGAGGTAGAGAGCGATGGACAGCGCCTCCTCTGGTGAGCGGGTCCATTCCAGGATCTTCTTGGCCCAGTACATCCTCAGGAAGCCGTGCATCTTCCCCTCCGTTACCATCTGGTACTGAAGGGCAAACAGGCGTTAAACTTGGATTTAAATAATTCAAACTGTCTAAGAAAGTGGAAGGAAACTCTTTGATAGTTTAACTCTAATCATCAGCATTGCTGCTAAAAGCATCCAGTTAATTCTCTGTTTAATGTGAAATAATTAAACTTTCCCTCATATTCTACAACCAACATCAACGCTTCTCATTGGAGTTAAAAATAAGACGATACTTTCATTACATGAAAAATAATCTGAAAAGTGTGGCACGGATTTGTCATCAGGCCCCATGAGACCCAAAAAATAGACGTCTAATTTTAAAGTTTTAAGAGGTCCACAAAATTTTAAAGCAAATGTTTTTTTAAATAAAAATAATACCGTAAATTCCGGACTATAGAGCGCACCTGATTACAAGTCTAATTTTAGAAACAAAGCCGCACTGGATTTTAACCCGTTTCCCACGTTGTATGAGATATTTACAAATAAAGATATTACAGGTCAGCATTTTTTTAACGTTTGATTTAATCCGTATGATAAAACAAACAAATGCGGTACATATTATGAATGCTTTTTTCTTTTAAACTACCTGTAACACATTTAAATATACGCATGTGTCGGTAACACGCAAATAACGCCGCATATACCGGTACTTTTAATTGAACAACGCACAGAACATTGCAGCCGACCAGGATCGCTTTCTTCTTCCTCCTGCGCACTAAAACCCTCAAAGTCCTCTTCCTCGGTGTCTGAATGGAACAGCTTCAGGATGCTGTCACTGACTTCAGTCTCATCCTTGTCGCTCTCACGGTCCTCTTCATCCCGCAGCAGCCCAGCCTTTCGAAACCCGCCTGTGATGCTGGATGTTTTCACACGGCTCAACGCATTGAGAAAAAAAACATGTATTAGTCGCACTGTATTATAGGCCGCAGTGTTCAAACAGCGGGAAAAAAAGTAGCGGCTTATAGTCCGGAATTTACGGTAAATAAACCCCATCTTCATTTTTTTCATTATAATTACCATCTTAACAGTTAAATTAACTTGCAATATTTAAATGAAACATAGTGTGATTTCTGCAGGAAGGGGATCAATAACAGATGGAAACCGATTCAGATTATTTCGACATCAGCTCTGGTTCTTTTCATTATATCTTTTGAAGCAGATATTTGACTTTTCTTCCTCCATTTACATGATAAAAATAGCGATTAAAAAAATATTAACACTGGATGGCAAATGGAGGAAGCGGTACCTTGCAAAATGTAGGGTTTTTGTTTACATGTAAACATAAAGGCTGCCAAACCCTCAGAATGAATAAAAAAAAAAAAAAGTTTTTTTTACAAGTTAAAATCGTGTTCTAATCATAATCAGATTTGAATATCGCGACTATAAGGCGCATATAAATGTCTTTTTTTCCCTCAAAATGTGCGGTGCGCCCTATGTGTGTTGTTACTGCGGACGTTGTTGAGAGCGCCATGAGAATGTTAAAGGGGGAAGTGTGGACAGAAACTGCCGCCTGTGGTGATTTTTAAGAGAAAGACTTTGCCTAAAGAGACTTTTCCAGCTGGAGTCGTTATTAAGGCAAATGAAAAGGGCTGGATGGATGAGGAGATGATGAAGGAGTGGCTGAGGGAGGTGTATGTAAGGAGACCAGGTGGTTTTTTCCATGCATCACCATCGCTGTTAATCTGTGACTCCATGCTTGCCCATCTCACAGCCGATGTGAAAAAACAAGGTGAAACAAATGAACGCTGTTATTCCAGGAGGTCTGACAAAGGAACTTCAACCGCTCGACATCAGTGTGAACCGGCCGTTCAAAGTAAGGCTGCGAGCGGCGTGGGAGCGACGGATGACCGACAGAGACCAGTTTCAAGTAAAGTGGAAGGCAGCGCCGGGCAAGTTACGCCACAGTTTGCAGATGGATTGTTGATGCTTGGGCTAACTTGTCTGCTGGCTCTGTTGTTCCAGCTTTCGCAAAAGCCGGCATCATTTCCAAGGAGCCGCGCTGCACGGAAAGTAACTCTGACAGCGAAGAAGGGGAAATTGGCATGTCTGATTTAGCGCAGCTGTTTAATTCAGAAACAGAGGATGATGACTTTGATGGGTTTGATTAATACTTTGTAATAAATACATTAATAAAGCACAATCATACTCAGTTTTGCTCCCGCTTTATTTTTAAATATGCAGTAGAGGTATTTAAACGTAGTAGAGGACATGTACCGGTATATAAACCCGCGCCCTATAATCCAGTGCGTACGGAAGAGGATTAGGGCCACTGAAAAAAAAAAAAAAAAAAGTTAACTGATTTTTAAATTTTATTTCAGTTTAACATGGGGAAAAAAAGTCAGAATTCTGACTGAATTCTGACAATAAAAAAGTCAGAATTCTGAGAAAAAAAGTCAGAATTCTGAGAAAAACAGAATTCTGAGAAAAAAAGTCAGACTTCTGAGATTAAAGTCAGAATTCTGAGATTAAAGTCAGAATTCTGACTTTTTCCCATACTATACTGAAATAAAATAAAAAAAATCAGTTCACTTTTTTTTTTCCAGTGGCCCTAATCCTCCTCCGTAGGTGCGCCTTATGTGTGTGTTAAATACAGTAACTGAAACTGCCCCTTTTAGTACGGTGCGCCTTATGGTCGTGAAAATACGGTAATAATTTAATTTCAAATGTGAAATCACAAAAAAACTTCAACTTGGATTTTTAAATCTGATGAAAATGTTAAATTTGATATAGCTGCATCTCTTTTCACCAAATCTTCCCATTCTCCAAAGTATTAAACCTTAAATTGTCTAAATTAATATTTTAAACATTAGAAAAAACTGCAGCCTTAAAGGAATACTACACCCAAAACATGATTAGCCTTCATTTTCTACTCACCCCCATGCTGAACAACACTCTGGAGTACTTTTTTGATATCTCAAATGCATCTGGAGATCTGGGAGGCTTCTTGCTGTCTGCTGACATTCAAATAATGGAGGTCTATGGCGCCCGAGACAGAAAGGTCCATAAAAGTCCACAAAAAACGTGTCAATATTCCTCCATACTGCTCGTCCAATGTATTCCAAGTGTCCTGAGTGGGTAGCATCCAGAATTTACTCGAAACGAAGTCATTTAGAATGTTTTTAGAGCATAAACAGTAGTGTATAGGATTTCCTGAAAGCGCGCACATGCGCGTTCACGACGCTACGGAAGCCGGCAGACCGAACCAGATGAAAGTGCGCATTCAGCGTCTGCTCTGCCAATAATGCAAGCGTAGAAGAAGAAATGTGCTGTTTACCTGTGCAAAGAAAGAAACAACGAAAGAAAAATGTCTGAGGACTTCAGTGTTGAGGAAGAGCATGAGTTCTTTGCCGAGCTGAATGCGCTGGTTTGGTCTGCCGGCTTCCGTAGCGTCGGGATCGCGCAGGTGCGCGCTTTCAGGAAATCCTATACACTACTGTTTATGCTCTAAAAACATTCCAAATGACTTCGTTTCGAGTAAATTCTGGACGCTACCCACTCAGGACACTTGGAATACATTGGACGAGCAGTATGGAGGAATATTGACACGTTTTTTGTGGACTTTTATGGACCTTTCTGTCTCGGGCGCCATAGACCTCCATTATTTGAATGTCAACAGACAGCAAGAAGCCTCCCAGATCTCCAGATGCATTTGAGATATCAAAAAAGTACTCCAGAGTGTTGTTCAGCATGGGGGTGAGTAGAAAATGAAGGCTAATCATGTTTTGGGTGTACTATTCCTTTAACGTTATAAAAGTGCATCTGCATCAAGCGGCGTCTGTAATTCTGCTGAAGGGCCACTTTGGGCTCCACCGTCCAACCTTCACCGTCCCTGATTAAGAAACGCTTCCCTGCCTTCACTCCTCTTCCCTTTACGGTTTGTGGAGAAGAAAATAACTTGGATGCTGATTTGTGAATATTTTTACTGTGAATCACTGGAAAAGTTAACTTGACCTCATTCTGGAAGCCACTGGGAAGTTTATCAGAGGTTTTTTTTGGTACCTGAGCTCCGTTCCATAACTTGTCATGAGTCTTGGCGTTCTCCAGCTGCTCCCGCGTGTAGATGTACTCCCTCTTGTCCTTGGCGTGGTCTTTCAGCGTCTTCTGAGCCCACTCGTAAGCACCTGAGCGCCGCAGAGAAACGTTTAAAGAAGCTGCCGCTGCAGGTCTCCGCTCTGATCGGACACCCACTGACCTTCCACTTGGTCGTACTTCTCGTTGTAGTAGCAGAAGTTATCCGTCAGCTCCCGTCGCACCACCAGCTCCTCGATGAAGGCGGCCACCGACTCGCCGGCGTTTTTCCCGCAGCGCCGGACCTGCAGCGCCACACGCTGCGCCGAAAGCTGACCTGATAGGAGGAAGGAAACGGAGAGATGCAGCTGGAGTGGCTGAACGGGACGAGGGAAATGATGCGAGGCTACTGACCGAAGCGGATCCATGGGGAGAGCTGGCTGAGGGCGGCCATGTTGGGGTCGTTGCGCTGGGTGGCGAAGAGCTTCAGGCGGACGTCGATGAAGGACTCCAACATGGCCATTCCTGCTTTGGAGCCTGGCTTGGCCCACTCTGGTTCTCCCACCGTTCTGTCGACGTCCAGAGAGGAAAGCGTTTGCTCCCAGTCCACCGGCTGTGAGGCGGAGAAGCAGAGCAGAGATCAAACCTCATCCATGAAGCAACAGAGGAAGGATGAACAAACTCAGACAATCATCAACACCTGATCCACAAACGGATTCACCTCTTTTCTTAAGTTTTTGCTTTATTTTTTCCAGATCTCAAACTAATTTAAAGGTTAAATGCAGTGTGATGGATGATCCCCCCACCACCACATCGTGTTGGTATTTTCTTTTCTTGCTTTATATTATATTACAGTTTATCTTTAAGTTGGTTATTTCTTTTAGACGGGTATTTTCTAATGGGTGCACACTTTAGTTAATGTCTGTCTGAATGGTTTATTTACACTTGTTGTTTTGTTTGAGGTGCTGCTGATGCAAACCAGCTGGAGGAGGAAACCTGGAGCGTACCATTTTTGAAAGACTGACGGGGGAGACTTGTTTCAAGTTGTTTTCAATTAGTTTGTCACTTAAATACTCACTTATTGTTTCTGCTAAGTAAAAGTTAGTTTTGCTTTATTTGTTTCATAGAATGGTTAATTTTGTATTTATTGGTGCTTTTGTTATGTAGTGTCTCCCTCATGTGGTAGACTTGGGTTACTCCATCCCTTTTTAAGCAGCCTTTAGTTCTTTGTTTGGAGGTCAGTTTTTCTTTTTTTTTTTGAGTTAGATCCTCAGTTGATCTCAGTTAAGTTTGGCCCAGATCCATGTTATTTTGTATTTGATTCAAAGGGAAATGTGTCTTTGTCCCAAACATGAGAAGATTTGGGCATCAACAGCCAGAACACGTCAAACTAAGACTTTACAGAAGTAACCACGATACTGCGAAAACTAAACTTTGAAATGAGTCATTAGCCTAAAGCTTCTTCTGCATTTCACAGAACTTACTTTAGCCGTTCTGGTAGCGGTGTGTGCGTGTTTCTCTACAGGAGGGAAATCAGTGAGAAACTCTGGCAGGAGGTTGGTAATTTTGCCCCTGATGGTCCTGGCAGAGTACTCCAGCTTTGGCGACGCCACCCAGCAGGGGACGATGTTGTGGGCGTCAACCTGCAGATGGAGGACAGAAATGATCAAAACGGTCCACCATGAAGGGAAACATAAAGCTGCCATTTTTCCTAAACACCTGAAGTTTCTCTTCTATCAGGAGGTCTTTCCGTTCATATTTATTTTTACAATATGCTGAATTTAAAACAAGTTTTTATTTCAAGAATTTATTGCATCAGCTGTATTAAATACTGACAAAGTAAATCAATGACTTCTTTCACAACGTTAAACTTATTTTACAGGATATAATAGGAACTGATTATGTTACTGAATAATGAAAAAGAAGATCAATTAAATATGTGAAACACTGATGATTATCAAAGTACAGAGATGAAAAACTATCACTAAGAGACAGGGTATGTCGCTCTTATATACTGTCGGAGTATTGGATTCTTTGTTTCAATTAAATGGATGCTAATTCCGATATAGCTCCCTGTTTTTTCTGTAATCCAGTAATCAGTAGTGGGAGACCTCATGCTGTTAGCAGCACATTTAAAGGAGAATTCCGGTTTTTAACACTTTTAGCCCATTTTCTGTAGTGTCCAGGATGAAATCGAATGATCGACACCAAAATTTTGACAATTGGTCCTGTCTCTGCTTTTTGGCTCATGCAGAATCCCCCCTGGCTGCTTCAGAATGGCTTCCATAGTGCATGTCCGATAAAGTCCTTAAAACAACCTTAAACGTTCTTTTTTTAAAATATGCTACTCACCGGGTCGTCAGCGCTGTTCAATGACGTTCCAAAAAAAGTTTCGTGAAGAAAAACCGTTCCTGTATTGTTTTATTTAGCATTTTGTAAATCCCAGAACTATTTTTTCCGATACATCACAACCGCTTATAAACTTCCGCTTCCCGTTCGAATCTGAAGCGTTGCACACTCCAGACCACTAGTTGGCGACAATGTCTCTATACTTTGGGAATGTATATGAATATGTCCTCCTCAAGAATCCACCTTTCGTATTCCATTTTCAGAGGTTTTTAAAGTGTTTAACAGAGACGTTAGCACCTCGACGTCGGAGTACACAGAGTGAAGCGAAAAGACTACAACTAAGCGTAAACAGGCCCCATTTCCGTTTCCGGTGGCGGAGGGATATTGACTATTCCAACAGAACTCAATGGGATTTACAAAATGCTAAATAAAACACTACAGGAACGTTTTTTCTTTACGAAACTTTTTTTGGAACGTCATTGAACAGCGCTGACGACACGGTGAGTAGCATATTTTTAGGTGATAATTTAAGTGATAATTTAAGTAGTTTATCTTGTGGTTATTTTTACAAACAGAACAAATTAAGTTTTTTCTACATGCTTTTTGTCATTAAACGGTGGAAATAATCTGCTACTCTGGATCCGCTCATGTTTCTGTTTTAGCATTACCTCTCCTGTGAGGCTCATCTTAAAGGAATAGTACACCCAAAACATGATTAACCTTCATTTTCTACTCACCCCCATGCTGAACAACACTCTGGAGTACTTTTTTGATATCTCAAATGCATCTGGAGATCTGGGAGGCTTCTTGCTGTCTGCTGACATTCAAATAATGGAGGTCTATGGCGCCCGAGGCAGAAAGGTCCATAAAAGTCCACAAAAAACGTGTCAATATTCCTCCATACTGCTCGTCCAATGTATTCCAAGTGTCCTGAGTGGGTAGCATCCAGAATTTACTCGAAACGAAGTCATTTAGAATGTTTTTAGAGCATAAACAGTAGTGTATAGGATTTCCTGAAAGCGCGCGCCTGTGCGTTCATGACGCTACGGAAGCCGGCAGACCAAATCAGATGAAAGTGCGCATTCAGCGTCTGCTCTGCCAATAATGCAAGCGTAGAAGAAGAAATGTGCCGTTTACCTGTGCAAAGAAAGAAACAACGAAAGAAAAATGTCTGAGGACTTCAGTGTTGAGGAAGAGCATGAGTTCTTTGCCGAGCTGAATGCGCACTTTCATCTTGTTTGGTCTGCCACGGTTTCCGCAGACTCGTGAACGCGCTTTTAGGAAATCCTATACACTACTGTTTATGCTCTAAATACATTCTAAATGACTTCGTTTCTAGTAAATTCTGGATGCTACCCACTCAGGACACTTGGAATACATTGGACGAGCAGTATGGAGGAATATTGACACGTTTTTTGTGGACTTTTATGGACCTTTCTGTCTCGGGCGCCATAGACCTCCATTATTTGAATGTCAGCAGACAGCAAGAAGCCTCCCAGATCTCCAGATGCATTTGAGATATCAAAAAAGTACTCCAGAGTGTTGTTCAGCATGGGGTGAGTAGAAAATGAAGGCTAATCATGTTTTGGGTGTACTATTCCTTTAAGAATGAACAACAGTGCCCTCTAGTGGACACTGGTAATATTACATTTAAATAAATTCCTTCTAAGCAGACGTTATGAAATTAACCAGATGGAACAAATTTTAATCTAATAAACCGTTAACTGACAATTAAAGGTGCCGTAGGAGATCTTTTCTGATGCATTTCTTACCGTGTGGCTTAAAGGTCTCCCCACAGCCGCTTAGCAATCAGTGAAATAGAAGGTCTGGAAGTGGAACTAAAATCAATGGTCCCCGCTACAGTGAGAAATCAATCAGTAACCCCAACCAATCACAAAAGATGGTCCGTTGTACACGATTGGTTTCTGACACGTCAATCAGGGTTGTCTGCTTGTCCCTCCCCTGTCCGCATACCCTGACACATGCTCGTGCAGGACGCCATGGCTGGAAGCTAGCCACTGTTATTTATTCTACGGAAAACTATTTTTTTTTTTTACCTGTATGAGGGGGATGTCTTTAGAAAGCTTCTTTTTGACCGCGTTCAGCCACTGCTGAGGCTCTCTGAGGGGAGAGAAGTCCGTCACTACGGCCCCAAAGCGCTGATCAGACACAAAGCCGGGGAGCACTTCTCCTGGGGCCCCATGCAGCAGGTGAAACTGGATGTTCAACTTTTTGCAGGCCTGTTGGATAAAGAACAAGTAGCAAGGTTTAAAATTCTTCTACTATTTCTGCTTCATTTCTTTTAATTTTAACTCTTCCAACGGCTAGTCTCTTCCTGCACAACTAAAGGAGTGTTCACACTGAACAGGTTTTACTAAATCACAAAAACTCTGCTATGGTTGCTTACGGCGTAGAACAGACGAAGTGTGAATGCAGTCGTTTGTTTCCTGGTGCAGACCTGGTTTTGAATGCAGTCCAAACGTTTTCATAAAGGGTTTACATTGGAGCCTCTTATGTATCAAAGCTGAGGGGATGTTTACATCTGTATTAGTGGGAGTGCATGAAAATCCAGGAAAAACTAACAGTAAATTCACCCGGCTTTTTGTTAGAAGTTTACATGCATGCATCATGGAAATCCGTTTAGTAATAAATTTAAAATCTGACACTGCAGCAGTTTGGAATACAACAGATAAGGAAATTCTAACGAGGCATCCAGGGGAGAACGCATTCCTCAGTCAGACCTGATCTGCATTAAGGTAAAAACAAAAGGCAGCAAAGTTTAAAAGAATAACAGGTTAATAACAGGTTAATCTCGCTTTTATAGGATCACTTATGGGTTAACAGTGTAAAGAATTTAACTAAACTAAACGCTTAACCTTATTTTTTTTACAAAAAAGTTAGCATTTCCCGTGACACAACTTTCTCATTTCCAACAATGACAGAAAATAAATAACAACATAAAAAGGGGACAGGTGCTGCAATCACTGAAAGCAAAAACCTAAAATCAACAAATCAAATTCAATCCAAAAATGCTGCAATCACAAAGAAGACGCTGCAAAACACAGTGCTGCAAATAGTAAAAACAATAGCAAATTTGCTGTTAAACACAGAACCACAGTGTTAAATATATATATATATATATATATATATATATATATATATATATATGTGGTTTGTTCTGTGTTCGTTTCCCTCCAGTGCAGTTAATCCTAACTGGGGATATGCGTACCCCTAGTGGTCTGCGAGTGCATTGCAAGGGGTACACGAAAATATCTTATTTCTTAGGCAGTAAAATAAAGTATGGCTGGAAGCTGTTCTGATTTTTGTACGGAAGAGGATTAGGGCCACTGAAAAAAAAAAAGTTAACTGATTTTTTTTATTTTATTTCAGTATAGTATGGGGAAAAAGTCAGAATTCTGAGATTAAAGTCAGAATTCTGACTTTAATCTCAGAATTCTGACTTTTTTTATTGTCAGAATTCAGTCAGAATTCTGAGATTAAAGTCAGAATTCTGACTTTTTTTCCCATGTTAAACTGAAATAAAATTTAAAAATCAGTTTACTTTTTTTTTTTTTCAGTGGCCCTAATCCTCTTCCGTATTTTTGAGGACCTAATTGAAAAATTAAATAAAATTTTATCAACCAAAAAGCTGAAGTTAAAAGATTAAGTAAAATAGTTTTCATTTTATTACCAGTTATTGCACACTCCACTTTTGGACAATCAGCAACACTTTTGATTGAGAGGGGTATAAAAAATTCACACAAGTAAAAAAAGACTGGGAAACAAACTAGTGCGGAGGTCTTGAACAGGAGGTCCACGGAGGAACTGCATGGGGGTCTCGAAAGTTTGGATTGATTAGACTTTTTTTCTTTATATTCCCCCCTGCAATTGTTTCCACTAATTGAAATGTCTTTAAATCCACATTAAGATGAATTCAACACACTGTAGTAAACAGATAAATGGAGGCAGAAGATGTCTTTCAGTCATCAATGCACACATTCAGCGACACACAGGAGCTCTTTCAAGCTGGACACCGTTTCATTCACAACACCTGTCCCATCAACCAGGAATCAGAAATACTTTAATAATCCCATGGAGAAATTACTTTCGTTACATTACTCCATCTGTAACAGAGTGACTATAGGACCAGTTTGATATAACACTATTTCATACAATATACATAACTAGGGGGTCCCCGCTCCACCTAGCCTGGAAAACATTGCAGACCCCTGAACTAGCGATCTGGAGCATTTGCCGTTTTATTAATTGCATAATATTCTCCAGTGATCTACAGCTCTCACTGGATCGGTTCGCAGTCGAGTGTGAAGCAGCCGGGATGAGGATCAGTGCCTCCAAATCAGAGACCATGGCCTTGAGCCGGAAAAGGGTAGAGTGCCATCTCTGGTTGGGGAGGATGTACTGCCCCTAGTGGAGGAGTTTAAGTATCTTGGGGTCTTCTTCACGAATGAGGGGAAGATGGAGTGGGAGATTGATAGGCGGATTGGTGCGGCGTCTGCTGTGAAGCGGACCCCGTACCGGTTTGTTGTGGTGAAAAGAGAGCTGAGCCAAAAAGTTCAAGTTCCTACCCTCATCTATGGTCATGAAATCTCGATCATGACTTAAAGAACGAGACCCCGGATACAAGCGGCTGAAATTAGTTTTCTCCGTAGTGTGTCTGGGCTCTCCCTTAGAGATAGAGGGAGGAGCTCAGTCATCCAAGTAGAGCCGTTGCTCCTCCACATCGAGAGGACCCAGTTGAGGTGTCTCGGGCATCTGGTTAGGATGCCTCCTGAACGTCTCCCTGGTGAGGTGTTCCAGACACGTCCCACCGGGAGGAGGTCCAGGGGGAGACCCAGGACACGCTGGAGGAACTATGTTTCTCTGCCTTGGGGTTCCCCTGGAGGCCCAAGTGGATGGGGGAGAGGGACGTCTGGAACCCCTACTGAAGCTGCTACACCTGCGACCCGACCCCGGATAAGCGGAAGAAGATTGAAGGATATCATAATATTCTATCTGTGATTGTTTTTTTTGTGGCTGCAGCATTCTATGTTTGCATTCATTTGTTGTGGAGTTTGCATTGCATGTTTCTGCAGCTCGATTTGTCGTTACCTGCAGGTGTACACCTGTCAGCCACATAGATATTACAGCATTGGGACATTCCCAGTAAACCCCAAACGTTACCTTAGCAACCTGTTCCAGTCCCTTCAGCAGGAAGGCGTTATGTCTCAGAGTGGACAGCTCAGATTTAGGGACCAGCAGGCAGTAACAGACATGCAGGGGAACCTCCTCCTTAGCAGCCAGCTGCTGGGCGCGGATCAGAGCCCAGTTATCTGATGGAAACAAAGGAGAGATGATGAAGCAGAAGATAGAGCAGGTCTATGTCCCAGGTGTGGAGCAGACCTCACCCTGCACCCTCTGGTCTCTCAGCATCCAGTACAGCACCCCCTCTGAGCCCTGCTTCATCTTCTGGCTGTCAGTCAGGAACCTCTGCCGCTTCTTGTTGAACTTCATGTCCTTCTTCTCCTCCCTCTGCTGCTTCACCTGGCTCTCCAGCCAGCCTGCAGCCTTCTCCTCCTTGGGCTGCTTGGCGCTGGGCCCCCGCTCTGCTGCAGACGGAGCTTTGCGCTTCTTATCAGACATGTTGCCTCCGATAAATAAAGAGCTGGATGGGAGGAAGAGGAGCGATGCTGAGCGAAGCTGGGTCTGAACTTTGGAGAACCGCTGAGCTGCGAGGAGAGGAAACCTGCGAGGAAACGTTACGGTTAAAAACTAATAAACAAACAAACAGTCCGAGGATCATTGAACCAAACAGCGCAGAGACGCAGACCTTTTGCAAACACCGAGCAGCATACAAGGAGTCTACCGGAGGGAATCTTTGTCTGCAGCTTTCTGTGGAAAATAGCTGTAATGTATGGAAAACAGCAGGAAGCTAACATGAAACAGCCGCATATGTAACCCGCTGCTCTTTACACAACCGCTTACATGAGCACGTTCGCTGAGAGCTTTCGTAACTTGTAAACCCCGCCCACAAGCCCGACACCCACCCACAAACGATCCTGATTGGATAGTTCCTCCCATCTCTCAAACCCATTTCCGGTTTAATGCATCCAAATCTTTTTTTTTATTGTTTGTTTATTTTTTTTTATTGCAAACAAAGACCATACATACGGAAGAGGATTAGCGCCACTGGAAAAAAAAAAAGGTTGACTGATTTTTAAATTTTTATTTCAATATAATATGAGACTTTTTTCTCAGAATTCTGACTTTAATCTCAGAATTCTGACTCTTTTATCAGAATTCGGAATTTAATCTCAGAATTCTGACATTTTCTCACAATTCCTAATTTAATTTTAGAATTCTGACTTTTTTCTCAAAATTTCGAATTTAATCTGAGAATTCTGACTTTTTTCTCTGAATTCTGAATTTAATCTAAGAATTCTAACTTTACTCTCTTTTGGATCTTAACATAGATGGGCACCATCAGAGATGGCAAAAGTACTCACTTTCCATACTTGAGTAAAAGTACAGATAAAAAATACTCTGGTAAAAGTGGAAGTACTGATTAAACTTCTTTACTCAAGTAAAAGTAACAAAGTACAGGCTTGTAAATTTACTTAAAGTATAAAAGTAAAAGTAGAAACCACTTTTTTCATGCCGTTGCCTACATTTTAAATGGATGTCTGCCAATAGGACTAGATCTCCGTTGTGTTCATTTTCAATCATCTCGTCGTCCATGCTACTATGCTAACGCCACCGCCACCAAGCTGCAATGATTTGCCGCAAATGAATACCGCCGAATCTGTCGATTCATCTTGTAGTGGTGCGTCAAATGCAACGTAGATTCCCATCCAATTAGATTGAATTTGGTATTGATGACGTGAATAATAATAACGGTAACTCCATTGAAATGATTCAAAACTAAAGTTTCGAGCCAATTTTTAAAAATGTAAGGAGTAAAAAGTACAGATATTTGTGTAAAAATGTAAGGAGTAGAAGTAAAAAGTCGCTATAAAAATAAGTAGTAAAGTAAAAATATCAGAAAAATCTACTTGAGTACAGTAACAAAGTATTTGTACTTCGTTACTTCCCATCTCTGGGCACCATGAAGGAAGGAAGAGATGTGGGAGCACTCAGCTTCACTGACAAAGATGTGTTTATTGGGAGGGCCAGTAACACCTTGGTGGAAAATGATGGAATTAGTGCCTGAGATTAAAGTCAGAATTCTGACTTTAATCTCAGAATATTACACATGAAACCATAATTTATGAGAGTAATTAAAGTATGTATAACAGAAAACTGACGACATAAACTTTGTTACTGTTTTTTAGTTTGACCTACATTACATAGATTGTCTCCGTAGATAAAAGTAACAATAAAAAAAAGAAAATATTGTATATAAAAGTGAATAGTAATCTTAAGCTTGTCCTTCTGTCTGTTATATTTTAGGTTTAAATGTGCTGGTTTTCAGTACAGTGAGTAGAGAAGCCAAACATTGTATAGACTTAAACAGATTTTATTTTGTCATTTTGTACACACAAGTGTAAACAAAAAGAAATTTCGTTAAGTGCAGCTCTCTAGACTATTTCTTTTATTAAAGTGCAGCCTTGATAAAGGTAAGCAAGAGTGATAAAAAATATTGTGATGTTTTTTTGCGCTTTGTTTTTTGGTCTAGGATGTATATGTGTATATAAATGACTCACTAATGTTTTATAACTTTTTGATCTTGTGGGTAGACTAGACGCACAGTAATTCTGAGGGGTGGAGGTGTAATTTATCAAGTTTAAAAATAAAGAAAACGTATCTTGAGCCAAGAATGTAATTAAGTTTTGCTTTGTATTTAATAAAAAGAGATAAAAAAAAAAAAAAAGTGATGGAAAAAGTGATGTAAACATATGACTGTAGTTACAGTTCCAACATTCAGGTTTGCTTTTTTTGTTGGGTTCTTTTTCTAAATAAAAGTGCAGAAAAATCCTGATAATACTACTTGAGTAACAGTAACAAGTATGGTGTAGTAAAACCAAGGGCGTAGGTTTGATTTTAACTTTGGTAGGGACACGATTGGTCGGGTGTCATTGGTGCAATGCAATATGCACGCCCTTTTTTATACTCGATGTGAGCATCCGTACTGATAAGAGGAATTCAATGTTAAAAGAGAAAAGCATAATTTTGCTACATTAATAAAAATTAAATAAAAAAAACACTACACTCATTAGATGCTGTTTATCAATGTTTGAAGCATTAATTGATTATTTCAATAATCGTCAACTAATTTAATAATTGATTCATCATTAACTGGAGTATAAAGACTCTAAAACATAATATAAATGTAAAATGTGTCTTTTTCCAACAGAGCAACCCACTTAGATCAGTAATTATACCAAAATTGTAAAACTACAATACATATATATAATCAAAATTCTCCAACCAGAACTCCTCATGTGGAAATATTTTAGTTTCACCTGGTTTATTTAGACGTCACCTGAAGCACTGAATGGCAGCTGCTTCACCTACAAGCTGCCCTGCACCATTATTACTGGATATCTGTGTTTCCTATAATCATATAATGTATAAGTGCATTTTTAATAGTAAAGGATTAAATGTAACACAACCTTTTATCATTGTCCTATATTGCTACTGTCTGACTGTATAAATAGCTCCTTATGTATATTTTCTTTTTAGTGGCATCATCTACAAACACAACACTGAGAATGAGCCTAAGAGTGTTAAAATATAAAATCACTTTTAACAATTATAAAAGACAATATAACACTATCTTATCTGTAATTTAATAATATCCAAAATAAACAGTCAGATTCCAGCATTTTTACCAGACATTAATGTTTGTACTAATTTACTTATAGACTGTGTGGAAATCTATGTAAGATAAAATCAATGTTAATATTCTTCATCTGTTTGTTCTTCTCTTTATCCTATTTCTAGAAGTATAAATAGTCAATTAAATTATTATTATTATTTGGAACCCTAATTATGCTTTTTAAACGATAAACAGCAGATGTTTAGCTGCCATTTCTTGTTGTTTTCCTCTATAAGAGAAATAACACCTGCTAATAATTATACCTGAACTTCCTCAGAGTCATCAAAAAATGAAACCAGTAACAGCAACTAAATATTGGTAAAAAGGAAACCGTCACATTTTCTTTTTTAGGTGGCTGTGGCTAAGAATCAGAAATGTTGATGGCTTACAGCCTTTATTTGCCCATTTTGTGTCTTCAGAACTCCTGGCTGACTCAGAATATTTCGTTTTATAAAAGAAAAAAGAAGGTTTTTGTTTTTTAGTGTACATGATATTCATTTTTTTTATTGGGACTAGTTTCATAGTCTAATATTAATTGTAGTAACCGCTGCATTCTAGTGTGAATAAATTTTCAATGTTGTGCTCCAAGCACAGCGGACTAGAAAACAGCCAATCAGAAAGAGAGAAGGCGGGACCTAAGGCAGAACAGCCAATGAGAGTGGAGTTAAACAGCGCAGCACAGTTCAATGCGCTGCTAGGTGAAAGGGACAGGAGAGACCAGGCAGAGGAGCTGCGAGAGGAAAAGAGCCACTGCTGTAAATTATAAACATGTTGCTCACATCCAATTATTGGTCGGGACAATTAGGACGGTTCAAAACTTTGGTAGGGACATGTCCCTATGGTCCCTATGCAAACCTACGCCCATGAGTAAAACTACTCCTAAAGCAACTTTTTTTATATATAAAAAAGTTTATCAAGGAAATGTAAGCGAGCAAATGTTATTACCTCCTCCTTACCAGCTGGTGGCGGTAGTGCTACTTTCAGTTGTTTGCCAACCGCCATTAAAAGAAGGAGAAAGGATGTTTTGTTTTTTCATGAAAGGAGGAGGCGATGGTTGAGCAGCTGGTGGCGGAGCTCTGGAAGTAGAACCTTCCGCTGACTGCTCGTTCATCCGAACAGCGCGTCTCGTTATTCGGCTGATAAAATAACGGGCGAAGGAAAATGGCGGCCGCTCCGGATAAAGTCGACATGTCTTTAGGTAACATTCGCTAGTCACTGCTAACTGGCATCAGCCGGTGGATCTGGCACCTGTGAGAATACAACCCATGCTTTCTCATTTCGATAGATGACATAATTCGCTTAAATAACAAAGAGAGACAGATGGGAAGAAGACAAGCCAACGGGAGCCACAGGCCGTTCAGGAAGAAAGGAGCAGCAGCCCGGACAGGTGGGAGCTAAAGCCGGTCTGCTGGGGCCACCAGCTCCTGGTAACTGGCACTAAACGGTCGGTAAATGCTGATCTCACCAGGCGGCGGAGGACCCCGGGGAGGAGCGGCGGTGCTGAGGAACAAGAGGGTTCCGATCCCTGCGGGTCGGCGGAGAGGTCAGGGGGTCATCACCGGGCTGGCGGCCCGGAGGCCGGCGGTTCTACTGAGGCGAGCCGGAGCGCTGAACAGATCCACAGCCGGTCAGAGCCAGGTAGCATGAAAAATCACACTCATTAAATATCACATTCATTAAAAATCACTCTCATTAAAAAAATCACATTAATTAAAAATCACACTCATGAAAAATCACATTAGTTAAATATCACATTCATTAAAAATCACTCTCATTAAAGAATTACATTAATTAAAAATCACACTCATTAAAAATCACACTCATTAAAGAATCACACGCAATGAAGAATCACACGCAATGAAGAATCACACGCAATGAAGAATCACACTCAATAAAAAATCACACTCATTAAAAATCACACTCATTGAAGAATCACACGCAATGAAGAA